GCCGCCTGCTGACGCCTCGCCGCAGGTATCGTTCGACTGACGCTACTCCCTTCGCGTCCATCTCCCTCCAAACACAACGCAGCCTCATCGTGAATGTATACAAGCTCTTACTCCCGGAATGTACATTCATATTGAGGGTGCATGGTATTCGGGTTAAGAGGAAGAAGCAACGGTAGCCGTACTGCCTCCACTCTTCCCCTCTCCTCCTCCCTCTTCCCTCTCCCCTCTCCCCTCCTCCTCCCCTCCTCCCCTCTCCCCTCTCCCCTCTCCCTGGCCCTCGTTCCACCTGCCGTCAGAGCATACTCACACCACCGTCCGACGACGAATAGAACGCACGATCATTATAGCTGTATTTGGAGCAACATCCAGTCTAGATACAGCGGTAATGAAAAACTGTTGGACTATTTTGAATGTCTCTGACTGCAATTACGGCTGGTACTGGATGTATCTAGCTGCTATCACGACCCGTACCATCCGTAATCGCAATTATGGTTGACGTGTCAGTACGCTCTCAGTCAATTGCGACCATGTCCCCAAGAGGGAAAACAAAACAAAAAAAAAAGACAAAGTAAAGAGCAATTTCGAGGTAAAAAAAAAAAAAAAGAAAAGCCAAAAGCGTTTCAAGTGATGATTTGTAATGAAATTGAGCTTCTTGTTGCAAAAACAAAAGGGAAATATATATATATATATATATATATATATATATATATAAACAGTTTGTCACAGCCCCTCGTTTGTTGTCCTCTTCTCCCTCTCTGCCTACGGTTTACCGGGCAGTTCTGTTTGTGACGATATATATGTATTTCCCTTTTGTTTTTGCAACAAGAAGCTCAATTTCATTACAAATCATCACTTGAAACGCTTTTTGCTTTTCTTTTTTTTTTTTTTTACCTCGAAATTGCTCTTAACTTTGTCTTTTTTTCATCGAAAAAAATTTAAAATTTAAAATTGTGAATAATACTGAATATGTGAATTTGACAACCGTCAGGTTCTTTCCTCGAACATTCCAATTTGACCTTATGTTCCCCGAAAAGAAAAAAATTTGATGTCATGTCTGGGTTTTTTTTTTGTCCTTTAACCAATCTATTTTTTTTTTTGAATCCTTTCTTTCACAAGAAGTAGCTCACCTTTTACACACACACACACACACACACACACACACACACACACACACACACACACACACACACACGCTTTTTTTTATTGTTTTTTGGGAACATACACACACTTCCCCAGTCACCCTTAAAAGAAAAAAGATACGCTCTCGCCATTTTCTTTCATTTCTCTTCCTCTCTCCTCTCTTTCTCTCTTCCCTCTTTTAAATTCTTTTTTTTTTTTTTTTCCTCTTCCTCACTCTCCGGAAAAAAAAAAAAATAATAAAAAAATTATCTTCCTCTTTTCCTTTTAAAAGGGCCCCGACCGCCTTTAGATATCATCATCATTTGAGCTGACCGACCCCAGGCAATTCATTCAGAATGATTTTATTATTTTGCTCTTCATCTGAAGGTATCTGGATTCGAACTTGGGTCTGATTCATATTTCAACAGTCTAGGGGGGGTGTACCAACTGAGCTACACCCGTTGCTCTCCCGCCATTTTCTTGTCTCCACCAGTCGTGGAGGGAGAGGCCGTTGGTCGCCTCGATGTCTTAGTGTTTTTATTTTTATAGTTTAATGATTTTTTTTTTTCTCCCTTCCGCTCCTTCATTTTCTCCTTCCCGCCTTCTTTTCGTCTTCATTGTCGTTGCATCTCCTTGTCTTCATCCACCTCCTTCTTCCCGCCCTTTTTAATCGTTTTTTCCCGCCCTTTTTAATCGTTCTTGCCACAGTCAGGTGTTTCTCTCTCGCCTTCTTCTTCTTCGCTTTGCTTCTTAGGGCACATACTGCAGCTGGGCTTTCTGGACCGAATTTGGTGCCAATGGTGGTCAGATACATGGAAAATATAATCTTACACTTTTCCTGCCAATGGAGGCCTCGCTGTACCAACTCTTCAAATTTGAAAAGAACGAAATCTAGGGTGAATGCATCTTTCCACTTTCTAGGGGAAGATACCTTCTCCAAGTCACCCATTTGGAGAGTAATGCATCGACGCCCCTCGTCCCTTTGTCACACTGTTTCTTTCCTCTCTTCCTCCCTTTTCCTCCTCCTCCTCCTCCTCCTCCTCCTCCTCCTCCTCCTCTCTCCTTCCTCCTCCTCCCTCCTCCTCCCTCTTCCTTCCTCCTCCCTCCTCCTTCCACGTCCTCCTCTTTCTTATAATGGCTTCCTTTGCACGAGAGAGAGAGAGAGAGAGAGAGAGAGAGAGAGAGAGAGAGAGAGAGAGCTAGCTAGCTAGCTAGATAGATAGATAGATAGATAGATAGATAGATAGAGAGAGAGAGAGAGAGAGAGAGAGAGAGAGAGAGAGAGAGAGAGAGAGAGAAGGCGTTTTCGTTTTTTGTATGTATTGATGAAGGACGACTTCCTGCAATACCTCGCAGCTGATCTGATGTGGTCGTTCAAGTCCAAGTCCCCCCACTTACCACACGATTCTCTGTGTGTTTCCAGCCATCCATCCTTGCCTGTAGGTCTACGGCGCAGTACGAGCTTCACGACTATGGTGCGCTTCGCGCCAATTTCATTTTATACATTACTACATTGTTTATCCTAACATTGATGCGCTCGGGGGTTTCTACATCTTGTATCGTCTTGTGTGTCTCTCTCCTCTCTCCCCTCTCTCCCCTCTCTTCCCCTCTCTCCCCTCTCTCCCCTCTCTCTCTCTCTCTCTTCCATCTCTATCTTTTGTATTGCCGAGTGCTTGCACTCAGCGTTTGTCTGTTGCATTCCAACTTATTACTATCTACGGTGCAGATCAAAGAATCCCTTCCCCAGGCTCGGAACCAGGCTCGGGACCAGGCTCGGGACCGGGTCGGGACCGGACTCGGGACCAGGCTCGGGACCGGACTCGGGACCAGGCTCGGGACCGGACTTGGGACCAGGCTCGGGACCAGGCTCCGGACCAGGCTCGGAAACCTTCCCCCAGAGGTGGCATGGGAAGATGGCTTGGAAGCAGATTTTTTTTTTTTTTTTTTTTTTTCTTCTTCTGGTGGTCCCATGGACCACGGATCAGATATTAAACTGATCAGAACTACCAGTAGCGTTTGTGTGTTGCATTCGATCTTACGAACTACGGTGCACATCAAAGAATCCTTCCCCAGGCTTGGGACCAGGCTCGGGACCAGACCAGGCTTGGAAACCTTTTCCCCAGATGTGGCATGGGAAGATCGCTTGGAAGCAGAGGATTTTTTTATTTTTTTTTCGGTGGTCCGACGGACCACGGATCAGATAGACTTGACTTGATCTCTTTTTCTTTTTTCTTTGTTTCTTTATTATAAAGGCTAATTCTGGACAGGACGGCCTTTGGGGCTTTTTTAATTGTCATTATAGTATTAGGGGGAACCCCGTAGCAGCCACATCCGTGCTCAAGCCTCCAAGGAGGGAACATGCGGGAGCTGCACCCACCAGCAGGTGGCATACCTGCTACAATACGGGCCAGGGGTGAGCCGGTAGCATCAGGACCGAGCTTCTTCGATGGGCCAGTCTCTGTGCTCCTCCCCTCCGGTCCCCTCCCCCTATCAACATTGGCAGTCTCTGCTCAATGCCACTCCGGGGGACCAATGACATATCTCTAGGTAGCGGGTGCCGAGCTGGCCCACGAAGGTACATGAGGCCAGTGGGGATTGACCCAATCACCTCCTGAATGGCACTTGTGTGCCTTACCAACTGAGCTAAGCCGCTGGTCACTATACTTTATCTTAGCCAAAAGGGCGGGAAAGGTATGCAGAGGATTATTAGAGTTGGACCCCACAGCTTTGCGGCAAAGGCCTGGAAAGGCCTCGAAATGTTTTTAGAGACCCCACAGCACCGCTACTGTCGCGTCTGAAAAGGAAGCGAGGGGGGTTTCCACATTGTCCACGGCCCAGGTTTCCACCGGAACGGTCCTGGGACGTTCTGATGTCAACGGAAGAGACGGTGGGCGGACACTTGTGCCGTCCGTCGGTCGAAACCGGGAGGTCGTGTGGACCACAGGTCAAATTCAAATTTGTCGCACATGTCTGGGGCATGGGGCCGGTCCGCACCGGTACCCTGCGAGGGACCCTGCTACCAGTGGAACGGACAACGGCCAAAGGCAGGGCAAAACCAACGTTTCCCTTGAACGGCCAATGGAAGGCGCCACAGGGTGAACGTCCATTTCGAAAAGGACAAATGGCTGTACGATCCATGTCATCGATGGTCGTCACATGGAGTGTGCGGGGTACCCTGTGAGGGACCCTGCTACCAGTGGAACGGACAACGGCCGAAGGCAGGGCAAAACCAATGTTTCCCTTGAACGGCCAATGGAAGGCGCCACAGGGTGAACGTCCATTTCGACGATCCATGTCATCGATGGTCGTCACATGGAGTGTGCGGGGAAGTTCGGCGGATGCGTTCCGATCCACTGGCGTGTCATGCGTGCAAGGTACATCGCCAGCTATGATGCAGTGCTGCCGGGATGGTATGAAAGCAGCACGCCAGGCGTTTGGTCGGGCATTCATGTTTCGCCATGGCAGTACGATTCACCGTCTTCCATCCTCTTCTGTACTTTCTGTCCGTCTTTTGCAGCATGAAATGCTGTCCCTTGTGTTAATGCCATCAACCCCATTGTGGAGACAATTATCTCCAATCGTCCCCTCTGCAATCTGCTGCTCACACGCCCCTTCGCTCTCACGGTTGTCCCTCTCTCGGAATTGAGGAAGGGTGGTTTTTGTTGACGCTCCCATTCTTCACCCGAACTTGCCATCCCACCGACTGTTTCCTTCGTATTGTCAAAAGTCGGTGCATCCCAATTGACCGCGCACACCTGACCACATCTTCATCCACCGTCCAGAGCATCGTGCATGACACGATTTACTCACCAATCTGTGTGATGGGCCGGCGACGTGCCTCGTAATTGCCTTGGCGTCGTTTTGCTCTTCTTCGTCGGTGTCGTGGTTTTCATCTCCAATCTGCCCAGGTGAACACGGGCCAGCCATGGAGCCCCACCGGTGGTTGGCACAACCACAACAACAGTCATCTGCCATGGCTGACTCTTCCATGGAAGATCAGCATCCCGGGTCGACGGATGACCGCAGATCGATGCGGATGACCTCGCTTCCTCGGGAGTACAGCTCCGCCACTTGGGGCTCTTTGTTCGCAAACTCTCTCCCTCCCACCCACCTGGCGGAACAGCCCCATCTCACAGGGCTACGTGCAAAGCTCCATTGCCGCACATCCAATTCCAGCGACACCTTCGCGGGGCAGCCAACTGTTCATCATGGCGGCATGCCGCTGTACCAGCCTCCCCCAACTTCGCAGTTTCGAGCTCCAACACCGTCGCCAAGTGTGTCTGCAGGAGTTGAGTTCGGGAGTTCACCCGGTCTTCCTGCCTCACCTCCCACTGCCATGCCAAGGCAGTCGAACAGTGGTCCCAATGTGCCATTGTCGCAGAATGAAGTGCCGTGCGTTCCCTACTCATCCACAAGTGCTGCGCGGGTGGGAACTCCAGCGGTTGACTGCACGCCTGCTGCGGCATCGGAGGACACACCATCTATGGTGACGGAGGGTGGTGGACAGGATGCAGGCGGAGGGAAGGCTCCAGCCAAGTCTGCAAGGAAGGCGTCCCAGCCATGGGCCCCGGATGAGCAAATCGCTTTGGTGAGACTGTTTGGTAAGGATGATGCGCTTTGTGCCTGTGCTTCGGGCCCTCACAGGTGCATGAAGAGGCAGGACCAACTGGAGTGGATCTCGAAGTGCATGAAGGCCGAGGGATACCGACGCAGTGCTGAAGACTGCAGGAAGAAGTGGGCGTCATTGTTGGAGAAGGTGAAGGAGATCAATGACAAGTGTGGCAGATCAGGTGGCGAGAGCTACTGGGACATGGCAAAGGAGAAGCGAAGGGAAGCCGGTGTTCATCCTGTGTTCAACAAGGCACTTTGGGATGCGATGGAGTGGAATATGAAGAAACCGTCGATGACTTGCGACAACACCTTGGCTTCCGACAGTATGCAGTCCACGAATGAGGATGTACGGGCTGGGGGGAGCGGGGATGGTGAAGGAAGTGCGGGTGGTGTTGGTAGATAGGGGAAAAGCAGCCGTGGGGAGACCGTCAGGGATCCGTCCGATGGATCTGATGCCGGCACGAAAGCATGGAGGAGAGGATCTGGCACAACGAGAGCAGGCGGTGACGATGAATCCAGCAGGGCAATGTCGACTGCAATGCAAGAGTAGACACATGCATATTGCCAGGGGTTGGAGCAGGCCACTGCGACACTTGCGAAGGCGTGCACGAAAGGAGCAGAGATCGTGGGTGGCCGTATTGGGGAAATGGCAGGGAAGACAGGGGCTGTCGCCGACACCATGGTGGGAGGGAATGATGTGCTTGCGCAGCTTGTCGGGGTTTTGGCTGGTAAGGCTCAGCAACAACGAGGTCGGAGGGATTCAGCTGAGGACTTCGATCGCTCACTGTAGTGCAGCGCGGTCCTGTTTGCAGTTGGGATAGATGGGTAGGGTTTTGGGAAGGTTAACCGGTGAAAAAGGGTTCAGAGTGCTTCTGCCCTTCTGATCTTCACAAGGCTCCCGGAGTCCCGCGTGATGAAGGTTAACCAGTGATACATATATATTTTTTGTGTACTGAATTTCTTTTGTATTTGGCTATGCACGGTAAAACACAAAAGCCGAATACTGAAATGTCACTTGGCATCTGCAGTCATCGAATGGCAAGGGCATTTGTGTTCCGGATTTTTATATTTAGCAGGGCGGCGGTGTGCCGCTCAGTCATTCTATTGTTTTGCCACCTTGCTGTTTGGTCGTGCACGGAGGACAGCCGCATGTCTGCAGATGGATTGCTGCTGGCCGCTTCGCTAATCGTTGCTCATGCACTGCTCGACACTGGGAGTGGAAGATCGACGGAGAGAACGAGAGATCGATCGACAGATCAGGACACACACACACACACACACACGCACAGAGAGAGAGAGAGAGAGAGAGAGAGAGAGAGAGAGAGAGAGAGAGAGAGA